TGAAATGGATTTGTTTCTGTTGCATCTGTCAACAGAATCGTGCCCTGCATGTGGTCGCTAGCTTGTGCCAGCATTGCAGGATTGGGACCAGTCCAAGCACTGGGCAGGGGAGCATGTTTTGCCATGCCAAAGCAGGGATGTCTAGCCATTGCCATAGACTGGTAAACTGATTAATTGTCAAATGACAATCACAGGGAATGAGGCTGTGACCAGTGCAGCTGGTCAGTGCTGCAGAAGTGCAGCTCACTTCTAATTTCAGTCATGTACTAAACGTGAGTGTAGGCTCATTGAGGGTCTCCTCTAGCAGCTCCCCGCAAAACGTGAGAAGGAGCTGTTGAAATGCCTTCCTTTTTCAGGGGTATGAAGGAAACCGCAGGGCTGCTGGTTGGGGAGGGAACCCTAGGCAAGTCAGTGCTCTCATGCCTGCTGCTTGGCAGGGAGCGCAGCCTGCACGCAGGGCCTTTGCCTAGCTCCTTGTGAGGTTACAACGAAGGATTTCTGCAGAGGGTTGCTGAAGATGTAATGGCTGTGAGGGATGCAGGACTGCAATGTTGTGAAAAGTCACAAGCCAGTCTGCTGTCACGTTTCTGTGCTTGGAACCCAGAGCAGGTTAAATCCTATCTACAGATCTGGGAAATGGTCTGCTGAAAGGATTTGGCTGTTCTTGGTTTGGCATTTTCCCCTCTCCTGGACCAAACAAAACCTCTCATCAGGGTGGTGCAGGGGGGTGTTACGTTCTTTGCTGTCTCATGTGTGTGCTTTTCAGAGAGTCCTGACACAGCAGTAACAAAACAGCTTACTATCTTCAGCTGTGCTTTCCTGAACAAATGTTACATGACATTTTCCCCTCTGAAGCAGGCTAGTGATGCTTTATCTACCTCTCACATGGATACCAGACACAGTGTTAAAGTCACTGACTGAGAGAGGAGTTCTCTGCTACCCCCTCCATCTCCATGGAGTTTCTCTGTGGAGAGGACTGGATGATATTCTAAGCCCATTCTGCCATTTAACTTTATTCTGAAATAATCCTATCTGTCTTGCAACAGGTACAGTATACAGAAAGCATGAGCCCATCTTTTTCCAGTCCCTTGGCAATCCCTTTATTTTTAGGTGCATAGATGGCGTCCTTATTGATGGGAATGATAAAGGACTGTCAAGATCAGTGTACAGGTAAGCAGTCAAAAGAAATAGGGGATTGTTGCTCAACTGATTTAAAACAGTGGTACTGATAGACTGTTCCCTGTTGTCTTGCCCTAACTTGAGTTATGTTAGATGTCATCCATCTGTGTGTATCTTGTAATGGAAACAACACAAGGGTATGAGCTGCTGGATGTGGTCTGTTGTGTACTTGTGTCTTCATCTGTAACACCAATGAGATGCATTTTGATGTACAGAGACTGTTTCCTGTAAAGAAAATAGTTGTATTTGGAGCACGATGTAGCATAAAATTTTTTAAATGCTTCTTAGCTGTTACTCAGATCTTCTTGGTGGATTAAAAAAAAGCCTCTTTATGCACTTGCTAATGCTAAAAAGGTGAATCTGCTAACTCCAGCTCTGGTCTGCAGATAAGCAGCACTTTAGAAGGAAGCAGTAACAATAACAGTAACAAAAATAAACATTGATGATGATGATGATGAGATGATGATGATGATGATGATGATGATGA